TCAATATAATATGATAAAAGTAAATGATAGAAAATTCTATTCGAAACATCTTAAAATTTCATGATACGTAGCTATTGACGTCCAATCCTATTTTATGGAAATTTATTCTAAGGCTGAAAAGAGTAGTTTAGCATTTTACCTAAATGAATGTAGACTCAAAAGTATAATCGATATGCTTATTCACCACATGAACAAATATTATGAAAAGGCATTAAAAGAGCCAGATTCCATGTCAGTCGAACAAATATGCGAAGTAGCCAAATATTGTATTATCAATGCTCTTAGTTGCCAGTTGGCAATTAATGCGTATAAAGAGGTGGCATCTATAGCCTTCTTATCATTATTTGATGCATATTATTTTGCAGGAAGCATAAAGGTTTACAATCTTTTAAGTGCTAGTGCATAACAAAGAGGGATCCTAACCAATATGATTTCAAAATAACAAACAGAAACTAGAAAATACCCTGGAGCCTATGTTTTCTCACCAGTAAAGAGTCTCAAAAATAGACGTCTAATAACTGGCTTAGATTTCGCATCATTATACTTATTATGACTTACAACCTCTCACCCGATAAAATCATTTTATTTCAAAAACATGCTGAGTCTCTGAGTGATAGTAATAAAAAGCTTCATGAAATTAATTTCAAATTCAATGTAATGATATTTTGCATAGTCTATAAGACATAATAATATGGGGCCTTTGTAATAGAAGGGGGGAAACTGCCAAGAAAAATTAATTTTACTTTATATGCCAAATATGATTTTTATGCTAAAATATGTTCAAATTTAGCATTAACTCATTTTTGATTTTTCTGGCTGTTTTCCCCTTTTCTATTGCAAAGGCTTCATATTCCTGAAGAAAAGGGTATTTATGCTATTATATTGGAATTAAAGATGGTTATCATAATTATTTTTAAAATTTTTAACTAGTTGCAACTTAAGTTACATCACTTTGAGTTGCAACTATTTATGAATTTTTATATAAAAATAAATTTACAAGAAGTTGCAACTTACTGAGTTGCAACTTTTTTAATTATGATACCTATCTTTAATTAGAATATTTATCTGCCAAACAGAATAAGATAAAGAAACGCCTTACCCCTTTGAAAGAAAAAAAGGAATATATGGAACTAGTAATAGGTTTAATAAGTAAAGATTTGTCACTACCAGAAGCAATTAAGCATGTTTTAGCAAAAGCGAAGGAGGAAAAATGTGACAGCCTTAACAAAAATCTATACTATTTTATTAATAAAGAAAAATATAAATTCATGGCAGAATATGATTCAGTTTGTTTTGATTGATTATTCTTGCTTTAATATGCAATAAAATGCTATTAAAGTGTATATGAATTCATTTTATGGCACTGCTGGGGATAGCAAATCCCCTTTCTTCTTACGTGAACTGGCTGGAAGTGTCACATCAGTTGGATAGAGAAATATCAAACTTGTTTGCGGATTTCGTTTAAAGTAAGGGTTTCCAGAAAAATATGATGATACCGATTCTTTAATTTAGTCTGTTCAGAAAAACGCTTTCAGATGTATGATGAAGCTTATAATAGTGGTAACGGGATCTCAAAAGAAGAATATTGGTCTTGAATGGTGGAAATCTCTATGATAGAAATGGAACAACTTTGTGATGAAATTAATGTCTTTCTCAAAAAAGATAATAGATCTCATTATCTTAAAATGGTATATGAGAAAGTCTTATTTCTGGTAGTATTTACTGGAAAGAAAAAATACTAAGTATCTCACATGAAAGTAAGCCAAACTTTAATAAAGAGCTTTTTATTTGAGAAGTTGAGATTGTAAAGCGTAGGCAGTTCAGCCTTTTTCACAAAGTAGGAAGACGTATTATGGATTAATCTATAAACATGGATAATTCGCGTACCTTATATCAAATTAAAGAGGATGTTCTTATGGAAACTGTAAAGGATATTTCTCAGACTGGTCTTAATAAAATAATCAAAACTGCTGTATGGAAACCTTATAAAAATAACAAGAATATCCATCATTTTATTTCACAAATGCGAAATAGACATACTCATGAAAAGTTAGACGCCAAATGATTCAAAAAAGGGTCTAGCATTATCTTTATGAAATCCAGAACCAGGAGAGCGCTTTGAATATGTTGTAGTTGAGAATGATTCATCACAGAAGGTAGGTGATAAAATGGAGTACCCAGAAGTAGGAAGAAGACTTAGTAAAAAGTCGATATTAACTATTATCTGAAAAGCGTTGTCGAGTTATGTGCGCATTTTATAAATTATAATGATAGATACCAGCCATCATCTAAAACTTTGCTAGAAGCCTTAAAAAAGTTAAAAGATGGGATCTAAAGGGCCTGATAATAAAGCAGATGAAGATGCAGTGAATGAAAACGAAGTGGATAAAAATGAAGTGGTATCAAATATGAAAGATTCCTTAGCGCAGAAATCAGCTGAAAAGTGGGTTAGAGGCTATATCAAAAACCTTCATGAAGACCCGAGAAAAGATGAAGCCATCATATTTCATCTATAAAAAGGAGTCTGCATTTACAGAAAACTTTATTTGATACTACTTATGCTGATAGAATAGTAAAATGCTTAGAAAATAATACTTATTACACTTTCTTTCTCAATGCGTTAGATAAGTAAGAGGATTCTATCCGCTTAAAACTTTCATCATTGCTCAAAGAAAATTTTAAGATCGATATACGTTACAAAGAGGAAATGTATAAATTAGTTACTAAAACCAGTAAGCGCAAATCAAAAGTCATGACTATAGAACAATATTTATTATAGAGTGTAAATTACTAACTGATTTGTAAAACATATGGTACAGAGTAGTTGATCTAGAAATCACACACTATTGAATGTTATTGAAGTTACAGGATAACAAAAAGATAATTCATCTGAAGTTGATATAGACGAAATTATCGAATTATATTATTAAGTATTTTAGCGGAAGTGTGACAATTTTAGCTAAGAAACTTAGTCGTAAGGCATTTTGCATAATATTATTTACATATTTTTTTCTTGTGCAATAATACCAGCCAACTTCAATTCCTATTTTCGAACTTCTAGCCTAGGATGATTACTTCAAACTTTCGGCCTCCAATCATACAACCCAACCTCAGAAATGTCCGGAGATGATAAAAAATAGTTCCAGTTATGAGAATACTCAATATTACCTTTTTCTTTTAGCTTATCACTCCATAAATTTCATATTTATTTTCTAACGATCTATATTATAGCAAGAAGTAATAAAGTAAGTATGGTATATGTTATCAATGGTGAAATTAAATAGTTCGTAATGCCAGAAATAGCTGATACTAGAGGCATTACTTGGGTTGATAACATTACTTTTATGCTATCTAATTGCTTCGTAATACCTTCACTCAAAATATACTTTTCAGAATGTGCTGGTCGACTGATTGGATAAGGTATCTGTCTGGTTTCTCTAAACTATCTCATCTTGGGATAATAGCTCTTGCAAAGCTTCTAATATATTTTCTCTTGCAAAACTTTTCAAATTTCATAACTTTATTTTCAAGGCCAAGCTTATAGACGAGGGGTTTTAAATCATCACTAATCCAATCTGGTTGCTTTTGTAATGAATCGTTCATAGGCGGAGGTGGGAAATTAGAGAGAT